ATATATATATTATATATATAACATAATATGATATAATATATATATTCATATATATATCTATATCTGTCTATCTTCTTAAGTCTTTATGTATTACTTAGTAGCACAGAGTGGGTTGATAGACCTGTGGTGGGGCATATTTTGGGAAAAGCGCTTAGACCTGAAGAGATTATTAGACTAAGATGCATGTAAGAATGAACAGTTAGTATTTACTTAATGTTAACTCCATTCCAGACTCTTTGCTTCATATAAGTAGGCCCTTTTATTTCAACTTTATAGGTAACCTACAAGGATTCATCCTGTATTAGAGATGAGTAGTATCTCTAATACAGAGAGAATTTGAGTAACTTGTCCAAGATTGTAAGCCAGATAACAATTGAGATTAGAACAAAGGCAGTCAAGCATCACACCCTCAATCAGGGAATTATCGTGTGCACCTAGGAAGTTAGGGTAGTGTGCAAGGGAAGACAGACCTGGGGAGCAGCCTGGCTAACTGAGCTGTCAAGAATTCTTGGGCAAGAGGAAGGAGAATTATAATTAAACAATGCTTTCTCCTCTTTGCTGGCCTCTATCCACACTGAACGCTAATTTCATATCTCTAGCTGACCTGCTACAAAATAAAGCTCATCATCACAAATTTCACAAGTGGTGCCAGCATAACTAACTTGTCCAACAGGAAAAATGAAAGCCAAACTGAATTTTGCTTTAAATTTTTTCATGGATTAATACTACAATGAAGCATACCATCTCAGGTGATTCCAGTTTAAAATGGTGAAGGAGGGTCTGACTAAAGGGCTATCCTCCAAGGAACTAGTGAGGCTTTAAAAAAATTTTTTTATTGTTGTGCTGGGTGGAGGTACATTGTGGCATTTACAAAAGTTGTTACAATATATCAAATATATCATACTTGAATTCACCTCTTCCACTTTTCTCCTTTATTCTCCCCTCCCCAGTTCCTGGAATAGCTTCAGCAGGTATCATTTTTCCAGTTACGTAGATGTGTACACAGTATTTGTACCATATTCACCTTCCCACACCATTTCTCACTTCCTCCCTCGTCCCACTGGTACCAACCCCCCAGGCAGGACCTATTCCCTATTCCGCCCTCCTGTTCTCCAATTTTGTAAAAGAAAAAAAGTTGACATTTTAATTTGTTTAAGATAGCTATACAGGGAGTTTCCTTGTGACATTTCCATGTATATATGTATTATAACTCAAATTGGTTCATCTCCTTTATTTTTCTTCTTTCTACATTAGTCTACTTCTTGTGGTGGTTTCAACAGGTTTAAAAATTCTATATTCATTTTTTATAAAGATACATCAACCATATTCACTGCCTTAACTTCCTTCTTTTTACCCTCCCTCTCTCGTATGTGACCTCCCCTTAGCATGACCTGTTTTCTTTATAACAATGCTATATTTTTATTAAGTCTATAGTCTTCATATGAAAGAAAACATTCAGCTTTTGGCCTTTTTATTTTCACTGTTTTTCCTTTATTGCTGTGCTGGGTGGGGATACATTGTGGCATTTTTAAAGGTTCTTACAATGTATCAAATATATCATATTTGAATTCACCCCCTCCACTGCTTTCCTGTATTCCCCCCTCCTCCAATTCCTGTAATAGTTTCAATAGGTATCATTTTTGCATTTATATACTGAACCTAGCTAACTTCACTTAAGATGATGTTCTCCAGGTTCATCCATTTACCTGCAAGCAATGAAATTTCATTCTTCTTGTGGCTGAATAAAATTCCATTGTATATAAATACCATATTTTCTTAATCCATTCATCAGTAGTGGGGTATCTTGGCTATTTCCATAGCCTAGCTATTGTGAATATGCTGCAATAAACGTGGGTGTGCAGATTCTTTTATTGAAACCTGACTCACATTTCTTTGGGTATATACCAGAAGTGGAATTGCTGGATCATATGGTAATCCTATATTTAGATTTTTTGAAGAGAATCCGTACTGTTTTCCATAGTGGTTGTACTAATTTACATTCCCACTAGCAGTGTATGAGGGTTCCTTTTCCCCCACATCCTCGCTAATATTTGTTGTGCTTTGTGTTGTCTTGATGGTAGCTATTCTAACAGGAGTGAGGTGGAATCTTAACATGGTTTTAATTTGCATTTTGTTTATAGCCAGGACTGTTGAGCATTTCTTCATGTATTTTTTGGCCATTTGGACTTCTTCCCTTGAAAAAGCTCTGTTCAGGTCATTTGCTCATTTCTTCATTAGGTCGTTGATTTTTGGGGGGACTTTAGATTTTTGAGTTCTCTGTATAATTCTGGTTATTAATCTTTTGTCAGATATATAGTTGGCAAAATTTTTCTCCCATTATGTGGGAAGCCTCTTCAATGTAGAGACCATTTCTTTGGTTGTGCAGTAGCTTTTTAATTTCATGTAATCTCATTTGTTGATCTTTTCTCTTAGTTGCTGAGCCATTTGAGTTCTATTGAGGAAGTCATTGCCTGTGCCTGTTGCTTCCAGTGTATTCCCTGCTCTTTCCTGCTCTAGCTTCAAAGTTTCGGGTCTTTAATCCACTTTGAGTTACTACTTTCATAGGGTGACAGACATGGATCTAGTTTCAGTTTTCTGCAGGCAGCTATCCAGTTTTACCAGCAACATTTGAAACATTTGAACATTGAAGAGGCTGTCTTTTCTCTATCATATGTTTTTGGTGGTGAGGCTTCTTTTATAGAGAACCAAAAGGAAAGGCTGACTCCCAGCCATCTTTGTAGCTTTTATTTATTCTTCTCATGCCACATCTTCCACCTAGCTCCCATTACCCTCTTCCAACCCACATTGGCTTCTAGCATGATTCAAGTCATCAGGTGCCCCAAACTCCTGATAGCACACTGTGGTTACCATAAGTACCCATAAAAATGACAGCAGAACTTTAATTAGTCCCCCACATCACACATCTAATACAGTGAGGCTTAAGGCAATAAATACATGCATCAGCTCTTCCCATAGAGAACCCAAAGTTTGCAGATTCCATTAAACTCTGATCTGTAAAGCATTTGTCATTGTACTTTTGCTGATAGCTGGAAGAAAACATATACTGGAAGTATCTTTGGCCCCAAAGACTGGAATATGAAACCAGTTATACTATTTGGTAGCTCTGAGGACTTGGGCAATATGTAAAACTTTGGAGAACACTGTGGTTTACTTCTCTGAAAAAGTAACATTTAAAAAGTAATTTTTATTTGTCCTGTTTGGTATAGATTGCTGAGCAGGGAGAGTACAAGCAGAAAGATCATCAATAAATGCCCATTTGGTAGGACAGTATTACCTAAGATCATGGTAACTCCAAATACTAGCTGGTATTATATTATCCTCAGTAAGAAGTAAGAATCGGAGCAGTTAAGTAGCTGGGACGAGCACTCGAAAGACACCAACTGGAGTAAGAATTCAAGTCCAGACCTGTGATCATGAAGGCTGAATTCTTTCCTCCTGACCTGTGCATAGTGAAAAGTCTGTGTTGATAAAAGAATAAATTTTACCTGTGGTATTTGAATTACACAAGAGTTCCCAGTTTTTAAATGGGTAAGTCTTTGAAGGGGCAATTTGACTTTCTTTCTCTTTGACATTTTACTACTCTGATATAGTTCATTTGTCATTCCATCTTCTCTATCTGCCCAGATTTCTTTTAGAAGTGAGTTTTCACATTTTGTGTTTCTTATGAACTACAACTGATTCATTTGTATCACACTAATCTGTCATCTTAAAGAGTTTACAGAGTGCTCATGGCTGTTAAAGACATTTCCAAATATCCATCTTTCATTTTAACCTGTCATATAGATTCACAAATGGTGTCAGTAAATCTCAGCTCATTTATCTGAAGTGTCCTCATGTTCCCTCCTAAGGATCTTGCCACATAAATGTCCTCTTGTGTTGAACTCAATCTATATATATGTGCATGGACAAGACACTTAAAAATATTGCTACCCCTGCAGATGAGTCAGTAAATAATTCAGAACTCAAGAGGAGAGTGCTATACTTCAGCTCAGATACACAATCAGCTTGCCATGTTATTTCCCCAAAACTTTTATCAGATATGAATAATTGGGCTGTTTGGTATTGTCTCAAGAATTCTGCTGCTTTAGAGCCCTCAACGATAACTCCTTTATATTACTGTTAAGTGATTAGCTCCATTATGTCCCTTCCTTCCAAGTCACCTTTTTGAAGCTTCTGGTAAAAATGAATGGAGCCCAGCAAGTAGCCTGTCCAAGGTATGGCACTTAGAGAACCCAAGCTTCCTCCAGAGCTACTGGGAGCCATGTGGGCTGCAACAGAGGCCTGGGCACCTTGAGGACATTAAGGCTCAGTGAATGTCCCTTCAATTAATATAAAAAAGAAATAAGGTTTGAGATAAGAGATTAGAACTATCATGTATATTTGGAGAAAGTACAGTTTTCAAAATCCTGAAATTTTTATTACACTTTTTCCTTTTTTTAACTGGAGGGAAGAGAACAACTGAGAGATAAAAAAGAGAAACTACAACAGGGTGGTAAATACATGTACAGTCTCAGCAAACACAAGGGTCAGTTATTAAACTTAAAGTGCATAGACTAGGACTAGGAAGAGCATAAAGGCCCATATGATCTCACTTTCTAATGCACTTGAAACAAAATTAGAGAAGAAATTAAATTTGCTTTTTACTTTTTTGATTAAAGGAAGAAAACTATATAATATACTCAAACACATTATATGAAATGAGATGAAACAATATAAGTATCAAGTATATTTTTTTTCTAATCTACATGGTCACAAAATTAATTTGGAATCAAATTGGTAGAAATTATCTGATCCTGTAGGATACATTGGGATGATGGCTGTGAGACATGAGTTTTAAACTCAGCTCCCGAGCAAGGACTTGGTGATAATTTAGGTTCATTGAAGTGATTCCTGTATCTTTAAATTTCTGGATAACAGTGCACTGTGTTGTATCAAATCTATAAGCTTTTCCTCACTTGTCCTTTCTGCTTATCTTTAAGGTCCAGTTGAAAAGTGAAGAATCCAAAACATTTGCAATGAAGATTCTCAAGAAGCGTCACATTGTGGATACAAGACAGCAGGAGCACATCCGCTCAGAGAAGCAGATCATGCAGGGGGCTCATTCCGATTTCATAGTCAGGTAAAGTCCTGTCCTTGGAACAGAAGCACCAACTCCAAGTGGCAGATCAACCATACCATCTTCTACCACTTCTGCTCAGCCTTAACATATTTCATCTGCAAAAGAAAATTGAAAATGCCCCATCTGATACTTTAAATCATTTTTATTTATTAAGGAGGATAAGATTCTCTATAAAGAATATTTTCCTCAAAGGAAGTATCTATTTCTAACATTTCCAGTTTTATCTTACTATCCACAACATTATATACCTCTGGGGCTTAAAAGAAAAGAAAATCAAGCTGTTTATTCTTGAAGTTTTTGAAAATTTTAAAAACAAAATAGCAGTTGGCACAAACCTGTAATCCCAGCTCCTTGGGAGGCTGAGATATGAGCAGTTGAAGACCACCCTGGGCAGAAGCATAAGATGCTATCTGAAAAACAAACTAAAAGCAAAAGGACTTGCAGGTGTGGCTCAAGTGGTAGAGCACTTGCCTAGCAATAAGCCCAAGCCATACCAGCTGGTCCTTCCACCTCAGTTTCTTGAAGACACTGACGAGATAATAGGGAGTTTTTTTTAATGTAGAAGCTCTTGTAGTCAATTTGCCATTGGTACTTACAAAAAATATGACATGAATTTGAGTGAGTAGCACATGAAATTCACATGTCTATATTTATAAAATTTAATCTACTTTATATCCATATATGCTGCATGTTTATGGCCACTAAATTTTGCTACCAAGTTGGAATTGATAGAATCCCAAGAAACTCTGTTGTCTACATCACTTGGATTAGGACTGGAGGCTTGGTTCAAGTGATAGAGCACCTGCCTAGCAAGCATGAGACGAGGCCCTGAGTTCAAACCCCAGTCCCACCAAAAATATTATTATAAAAAGCAAAAGCCATATCACTTGGATTAGCCCATCTAAGGGACACACATTTCCTATGGTATGTAAGACTTACTCACGAGCCCATTTCTCCCTTCCGTATTTGTGGACTTAGGTCTTTTTCATTCTTCTCATAAAATTTCAAGCTTGGAAAATCAAAAGACTGCAATCTAGCCACTCAAAAATTAAGGACTTTTTAAAGTTATTTTTTAAATAATCAATATTCAAATATTGTTAACTATACAGTGGAATATTGGAACTTATTCTTCCTATCTAGCTATAACTTTGTAACATAGGTATATGAAGTGATATATATGCTAAATACCCTGTTTTGACCATTAAACAATATATATGTATTGAAACATCATACTGTACTTCATAAATATGTATAATTATTATGTCAATTAGAAACAAAAAAGTTCCTTTAAAATTTAAAAAAGTATGCTTTTAAAAACAATAATGTTCATACCTTCATTTCTCGTTTGTCATTCACAGGCTATACAGAACATTTAAGGACAGCAAATATTTGTATATGTTGATGGAAGCTTGCCTAGGTGGAGAACTGTGGACCATTCTCAGGGATAGGTAGGAGATTAAAAAAATTTTATGCCCATGATGGTTCATGAGAAGAGTCATATTTACTTTTTATATATGTTTATATTTCAAAATATAAAGTAAACATGAGTTACAACCTACTATATATGTATAATGTACCATAATTCATGTAAAATTCACTTTGTAACTAGATAAGGCTTAGTCCACTATAAAAAATAATACTTAGAAAAGTATATACATGGGTCTTCATCTAGCTTGCATATCAGAATCATAGAACTGCATACCTGTAATTCAATACATTGCTTTAACTCGAAGAGAATTATAGCTAGTTTATAATTATTAGAGTTTGGATTAGCTATCAGTTTATTCTCAGTTTAATTGCTACATTCTGTTTTCAGATAGGCAGTCTGTTTTTCATGACACTGAGAATTGTTTCCGAAGTAACTTTTTCCTCTGACACTTGTTGCTCTTTGTTTTTAAAATTGTTACAAGTTTCCAGTTATCTCTTTTAGCCTTTACTTATTTTAGGAAAAAATTTAATCCATTTATTTGCAGTGTTTCATGTAAATGATTTGATTTAGATTTATCTTTCTATCCTTCCAAGGCAAATAGGCTTATCTAGAGAATGTTTGTTCATTTATTTTAATTATGAAAATTCATTATGTCTTTATTTTTCATCTCATTTATATAACAAATTTATATTTTAAAATTTTATCCTTCAAAATGTCTCAGGAGATTATTACCTATACCATATGTTTACATTAAAAGAGGCCACAATTTTATTTTCCTACAAATAATCTTTTGCTCACTTCTTATAAGTGACCTACTGATCATTCAAGAATTATCCTAAAGCTGGGCACTGGTGGCTCATGCCTATAATCCTAGCTAATGAAGAGGAAGAGATCAAGAGGATCCAGGTTTGAAGCCAACCCAGGCAAATAGTTTGCAAGACCCTATCTTGAAAAATGCCCAGCCAAAACAAGTCTGGTAGAGTTGACTCAAGTGGTAGAGTGCCTGCCTAGCAAGTGTGAGGCCCTGAATTCACACTTCAGTACCACCAAAAATCAAGAAAAATAAATTATCCTTAAACACTTTAATGTTCACTACTAGAATAAAATATATTTTTCTTATTTGTTCAAGTCCTACAATCAGATTCTCTTTCACTGGGTAATTCTTCCTGAAACTTAGCTGCACAGAGCCCTGATGCTCTCAGAGCCATGTAATTTTGTGATATTCGTAACTTTGTAGAACAAGTGGCTCTTTACAAATCCAGTAGGAAAAGAACATCATCTGCACAGTGTTCTCATGGCACCTTCATATCTTGTGCCACACGCCTTTTTATGCCGTTTTATGTGTGGTCTTGCTTACATCATGTCAAGTGGATTTCTTTTTACCATATTGCATTTTATTACACTAGTGTTTTGTTTGATTTATTAAATTATAACTAAAAAAGCATACAAGGAAATGTACCATGTTAGGATTAGGGAACTGGTTAACATCTGCACCACGCTATTATAGTATATTATTATACCATTGTTAGTTAATGACTGAGTATAAATTACATGCCACGAATGGGGTCCAAAACTTGCAGGCTGTTGCACTAAGTTCATGTTTGATTTTTGCATTAATATCTGGCATATCCTAATGTGATACTACTGTATTATTTTTGGCCTAACATTTCAGTCTACTGATTAACTTGAACTCTCTTCCCTATGCTTTTTGTGATTAGGCTAGGAGATTTGCAGGTGGAATTAAACAAGAAAGCAATAATAAGCTACACAGAGAATGGACCAGCTATACTCCCATAGCTTTTAAAGCTTCTGTTAAGTTCCTCAACTAGGACAATAACAATAATAGTGATAAAACTCAAACTATAGTCTACTTGTGAGGCACCAAACATGCAGAGGCATCAATTTCCCACTTACTTTTGAAAGTATTACTTCATGTTTTTCCTTATATCACTGGATTTTATACTTTGTTTCATCATAAATCCCACCCCAGACTTCTGAGTGAGCTGTACTTTGACTCTTCCAGGTAACAAAAGGTTACTGTGAAGAAGCAGCTTCCCTTGGGAGGAGTGAATAGAGGGAAAATAACAATAAAGGTTCATTTCTCTTCCCCCACAGGCTGCTTTCCATCCTTATTTGTTCCTTCCCCTTAGTATCCTTAAGTTTGGGGTACACAGTACTGCATCCTTCCCAGGAACTTAATACTGCATGAAGTGGTTTAATTTGGAGAGACAATGCCTGTCTGGTTCTTTCAAAAGATTCAGAAATGTTGGAATTCTAACATTAAAATTAATGGACAATTCTATATGAAATTACCTTGCAATTATTTCTCCCTCCAACCTTCTTTTTTTTATATACACATGTAAAAGACTGCTTTTATTCTATGTGTCTTATTTTACCTAGTTAAGAAAATTCTGGCAGGGGTAGCACAATTGTGGACATCCAGGTTCTGATGAATATTGCCTCTAACTAGATTCTAGTTGTTTAAATTTGGTCTAAAATTCTTAAAGATGAATTGTTAAAATTAAACAAAAAATGTCAAATTATACTATTCTACTATTAACCACATTGTATATGAAAATATCTTTACTGAGAATAAAACACCTGTTCATTTTGATTTTCCTTTTTTGTCCATGGGAAGGAATGGTAAGGGAAAAGCTACTCTAAAAGCATACAGTAAATGTGTATGGGTTGACTTGAAGGCAGGCTTTTGTGCTCTTATTCTCTACTAACGTAGAACTGTCTCTGAGTCTCAGAGATTTAGTATGAAAAGTCTCAAAACAGCTTAGACATCTTCCTTCTCTCACTTCTTAGCTGAGATAACCATGTTCTGCTTCTCTGCTTCTCACAACTATAGGAAAGAAACACCCTTTATTGGTTATCAAGCAATGAGAATTAAGATGACACTATATACAAATTGGATTTGAGGACTGCTAAATATTTTTATCTTGAGACATGAGCTAGAACACTGAAATATTAATTGTTCCTATCATTTCACTGCTTTATTCTTTAGTAGCTATTATGTTTTATATTCTAGTTCATGATTTTTTGTCTTCCACAACTTCTATTACATTATTTGGGATAAGTTGGTACAAATTATATTTTATTCAACTTCACTCTCTCTAAAATTTAAGGAATTGGCAACCCCTGGAAAATTTAAAAATAAAAGTGGTTAATATGATAAATATATTAGTGTTTCTATTAACAAATAGCATAAGATATAATGCATTATCATGTACATACATATAATATATCAATATGAGTACTTAATGCACATTTTAATCCAGGAAAATTTAACATTCCTGTTATTAAATTTTTTAAATGTGTGTATTAACTTTTTTATAATGAATATCTCAAATAATGATGTAGAAACTATAATTTTCAAATCTCATTCATCTTATTTTCTGGGCATGTGTTTTCCTGGATATGTTTTATAATCTCGAGGGTAACAAGTGACTTTACATGTCCATTCTCCTAGATTTTGGCTATTCTGTGGAGGGTGATTATTTAAATATCATTTTAATGACATAATAGAGGGCACAGATTGAAAACATAGCAAAAGAAATGAGTCTGTATTCATAATAACTTAGCCCCTATAACTTTACAATCACAATAAACCTGTATAGACTGCAGCATTCTTCAGATTTATATACTCACTAATGATTGTTGCTATAGTCATTGTTGCCCTGGTCTCTTTTCATAAGAAGCGGTTTGTCTTTGTTACATTCTTACATTGCAGGACTCAGTTTATGACAAGTTGATCAAACATTATGATTAAATCTTAATTTTATTTTCAATAAATACATATAACCCTCTAATTCTATCAAATTATTACCTTCTGTCATTTAGCTAAAGCAATCACTCATTCTGAAAGAAAGTATAAGAGCCTATCCCTTACTTGTTTTCCTTGAAATGATATAGTTGTCAAGGCAAAATACTATTTCAAGGAACTATGGAGGGCAAATGATTTATTTCTTTAAGCAGCTCTCTGAACTGTTGATAACAAGTTTTCACTTCTATTTTGGATCAAGTTTACATTGCCATTTCCAATTCTAATAGTAATTTTTCATTTTGAGTCATCCTAATTCTTTGCTTTGTGACTGCTTTCAAGATGTATATTTTTAAATTTCCTAGACCAAATGTTTAATGATGAAACAGCGTGTTGCCGACACTTTTGCGCATATGTTGTGCACATAGTGATTTATCAAAGTTTGTGACAAAGCTTTCATTCAGTTTTTTAAAGTAAGTTACAAAGAGATTTCTGTATGAGAGATATACAATACATATCTTTGGAAGAAATATAAGCCAGCCTTCTAGAGCCTCCAAATTCCAAATTGCTCAGGACCAGAGATAAACAGAGCTACCAAGGATTGATATAAAATTAGTGGTCTGTTTATTTCATGGTGAATAGGAGAGGGTTTTTATTGGCAGGCAATAAAAGGGTAAGCTTTATCTGTACATTTGTGAAAAGAATGGGGAAATTAAAAGAACAGAGATGAGCAGAGGATTCTTCTGAACTACTCATAGAAAGAGACTTGCCAGTGACATGCACTTCATTCACTATGATAATTAGTGTTGCATATTCCCACCTCCACCTCAAAAGACTTTAGTCCTGTCCTCTATTACATTAGTTAATTTTCCTAGATGAAGAGCTTGGATGGTCAATTATAATGGTTATTCTTTACTGAGTGCCAGTTGTGTGCAGGCACTTAAGATATCCTAAGTGTATTCATCAATTATTTTATTATTTTTTAAATATATTAATTTTTTTATCATACTGTTGTTATATTGGGGGTACATTATGACATTTATAAAGATGCTTACAATATAACTTAAATTCTCCCCCTCCATTCAGATTCAATTCTTTGAACCCTTACAGCATTCTAATGAGGATAGTAACCATTATCAGCACCAGTTTGCAAATGACAGCACTGAAACTCCAGGGAGTAAGATAAATTGCTTAACATCACAGAGTAAGTGGAGACTGGATTTGAACCCAAGATTCTTACATTGGAGTCCATAGTTGTAATCTAAAGCCTCCTCTTTTGAAATTGAGCTTATATTAAGATTTTTCTCCTTCCCAGTAATTATCAATTTATTCAGAAAATAAATATGCCACTCAGAAGAAATTTTATGAAAAATTTATTACTCACATAATTGTTTACTCTTACAAAATTCACAATAATATATTTGCCATTTGGTTCCAAGTGTCACTGATATTGATGGAAAGCAGAGATGTGATTTCCAGAGTCACAATTGAAGAAGTAATCTTTTATAAGCCTTCAAAAAGCCTGCTGAAATCACCATTAGACAGCCCTGATGGAAGGTAGTAATCAACATGTAGATTAAAAAGAAATGTGTAATGTGAAATCAAGTTAAGACCTTATTGCATATACTGTTTTGTTTTGCTTTACTTTGTGATATTTTCCACTGAAGTGGAATTGAAGTCACATATAGCATTTACTATATTTTAAGCTGTATGTTAATTGTGTATATAGTATACATACACACAAGTTTATACATAGGTATACGTATATATACAATTGTATACACACACATACATATACCTGCAGATGCTTACTACTAAAGCTAAATAAACTCTGCAATTGGAAACCAAAAAAATACCCTGCTCTTGATAGACAAAGAAGAAAGGGGCTTCAAGACAACACTGTAACCAATTCCCAGTACCCATCTTAACTCTACAAAGGATAGCTTCATCAGAGGACAATATCAGCTTAAAATGGATCATTCATTTCCTATTATGAATACAGTTATTTTCAAAGAGAGATCTTGCCCTCGTAAATGCATAGTTGTTCCAGTCAGATATCATTGGAAAGAGATTTAATAATTTTAGTGATATTAGGTATAATTTGAGTATCTAGAGGAGTAGATACCATCACACTTAGAATTGTCTTTCAAAAGGAAGATATTTCTTTTGGGAAGAGCTGGCATTTACATGATAACTCAGGGAACACTGGTAACTGAAATGATGACTATAACTTTCTGTAACATACTGTTTCTGAACAGTATGCTTTAGCCTTGGATTCTCTGATGAATTTTGTACAGATATAGCCATATTCCACTGGCCAGTTTGTTAGACTTTGTTCTTCAATTTACAAAAAGGAGTAAATGTCACTAGAATGCAATCAGGTACCCTTGTGGGAGCAAAGTCCTGGGGTGAATGTTGGTTACATACTGCCTTAAATTCCACCTGTGTGCTTGTTGTTCTGATTTCCTCTCAGCCACCTCAGGGGTTGATATGCATGCTAGTGGTCTTGAATTATAAAATCATTAAGTTGAACTTACTACTTGAGAAAAGAACACAGTTTATTTTTAAGGAGTTCTATGAAACTCCTTTGAATCAAGGAATAAACCTTAGATGACATGGAGGTTTTTCCTTTATTGTTATTCATTCATTCAATCAGTCACTCATCATATATTTGTACATATATACACATACATACATACACACATTTATGCATGGAGATATAGACAGAGACTAAGATGATCTAAGGACAGTAATCTTTCTTGATAAATATCATCATCAACATTTCCCTCAAGTTAATAATTCCATAAACCTCTTCTTTTAAAAGAAAACTTGGTAGGGAGGCTCCAAAATAGAATTCATTCTTTCTCCTGCCTACTGCTGAAACCCTGTGCCTTTTTAGGTTGTCATGAACTGTTGAGAGGAAGCCACTAGTAGTCTATGAAACTTGCTATACTATTGAGCTCTTGTTGAGCCCTTTCAGGAAGTTAGATTTAACTTTCCCACTCATAGGGCAATAAATTCCTGGACTTGATTCTCAAATGCTTTAGAAAACCCAATGGAATGACAATCATACAACACTGAGCCAATTGGACATTGATCTCTGAACCAAATTTGGCACAGGAATATAGTGAAATGACAAAACACCACCAACCTTATTAGAGAAACAAATTTCTCATACACTTTTCATTCTGTTTTCCATGTTTCAGAGGTTCATTTGAAGATTCTACAACCAGATTTTACACGGCATGTGTGGTAGAAGCTTTTGCCTATCTGCATTCCAAAGGCATCATTTACAGAGACCTCAAACCAGAAAATCTCATCCTAGATCATCGAGGTTATGCCAAACTGGTCAGTGTGTCTCACACATGGGTTCTGTCCTGCGGCTTTAAAATATTTGTTTATAAAGCTGTGCTAATTAGCTAACATGAATCTGCTTTACATTTCAACACTACAACTTTTCTTAAAATAGGTTTTTAGCACAACATTGAAATTATCCTTTCAAATTACATAAATGTTATGAGAAATTTAGTTCACTAGGTTTGAATTAATCATAGTCTAGCAAAATATACTTTGTAATGCATGTTAGAAAACACCCTTGCTGGCATGCATGTGTTCATAGACTTAAAAGAGCTTATAGAAGCTATTTTATTCTTCAGCCAGCCTTCTGCCATTCAAAGCAATGGATAGTTATATTATAGAAAACTGTGAACTATTTGATATTTTAGATTTAAAAATAATGCTAGTGGGAAAAGTGGAGTTTGCAAGTAATATTATTCAGACTGTTTTAATAATAATAATATGAATAATTGGGCAAAAGTTCTAAAGATTTACTTTAGAAAGAAGTTCTCTCATTTGAAACTGGGCTTTGGAGCTGTTGGTCACTGATTTTATTTTTAAACTTTCATGAATTTTATTCAGCATAAGATATTTTAGAGAAATCAAATGAATGCCAGGTAGTTTTATTTGTATATAAACTAAATTGCTTTAGAAAATAAACAGGTGGTCTGCCTTTGCAGCTCCTCTATCTAAAGGTCTGTAGAAAAATTAAGGCTGCATTTTCATTTTATCTGCTTCTGACTGCCAAGAGTGTAGTTGTTGATCTCACAAGTATATTAGTCTCCTCTTTCAACAATAAAGTGGCTTCTTAAATAATTCATACCAGATGAATTGTCAACTTCATGAAGTATAGCCGAAAGCATATATATCCTGGGCAAGTCAGTCTACTTGGTCTTCTAAAATTTTTGAGTTAAGGAGAAATGCTTTCTGTATGCCACAACCTTCATTGGCATAATGTTAGGAAAAATAAAAAGCTGTCTCCAGGAAGATTTGCTTTCCTTTTTCATGATGTGAACTTTATCCAATATTCAGGTTTCAAGTCTTCCCAGTGAAACTGAATTTGATCAGAGTGATTTTGTTTGTAATATACACAACTCCTTTTATGAAATAAGACTATGATAACTTGCATCTGTTTATATATTTTTATTATCATTATCAATGTGCTTCATCAGCAAAATAACTTACTCCTTTACAACTTCATTATAAGTGGCTTAAGTATCTTGTTTTGTCTCTTTGTAAGGTTGATTTTGGCTTTGCAAAGAAAATAGGATTTGGAAAGAAAACATGGACTTTTTGTGGGACTCCAGAGTATGTAGCTCCAGAGATTATCCTGAACAAAGGCCATGACATTTCAGCCGATTATTGGTCACTGGGAATTCTAATGTATGAACTTCTGACTGGCAGGTATGGACATTTATGGAGGAATGATAATAAAATAGACCACAAACAGCCACACACTTCTGCCTTTGTCACTTGGACCAGATCAAGTTAAAGTACATTTCATCATCTCTCCATACCGCGCTTTAAATAGTTATGTGAATAGCCATGAATCCATAAAGCAAGATCTAAAGCAGGTCAGATGGGAGCAACCTACTCACTGTCAACTTCTAGTCTTATTACCGCTAATTTATATATATATAAAGTAGGCATTAGGGGTACCACAAGGCATAAGACAGACTACAAGCTCCTCAAGGACCAATATTAAAGAAGAAACGAACTGAGTACCAGTGGTTCATGCCCATAATCTCAGCTACTTTTGGGAGACTGAGATCAGGAGGATCATGGTTTGTGGCTAGCCCAGGCAAATAGTTCAAGGACCTTATCTCCAAAATAACCAGAGCAAAATAGACTGGAGGTGTGGCTCAAGCAGTAGACTACCTACTTTGCAAGTGCAAGGCCCTGAGTTCAAACCCCAGTCCCACCCCCCGCCAAAAAAAGGAGAGAGAAAAACGAATACACCACAGTGACATTTGCTGAGGATGGTGAGAAATACAGTCATTATGACCTGAGTTCAAAGGAAGGCTTGGTTTGTCCTGGAGGCTTCTGACAAATTTAAGACTGAAGCTGGGCCTTGAAAGAAGCATAGAACTTAGATGTAGACAGGAAGGAAAGTGGTATTCCAGGCAGAAAGTCATGATTTTCCTCTAAAAATTAAAATTAGCATATGATCCAGAAATCCCACTCATCAGTACACAGCTAAAGGAAATGAGATGTCAAAGAGACATCTGCATTCCCATGCACACTACAGCACTCTTCATAATAGCCAAGAAAGAGAAGCAAGCTATGCGTCCATCTACTGATGAATGGATAAACAAAATAAACAAAATGTGGTATATGTATACAACAGAATATTATTCAGCCAGAAAAGAATGAAATCCTGGCATTTGCAACAACATGGACAGAACTGGAAATCATTATTAGTGTAATAAGCCAGGTACAGAATGATAATTACTATGTGATCTCACTCATATGTGTAGTCTAAAAAACTTGATCTCATAAAAGTTGAATGATGGTTACCAGACCCTATCTCAAAAATAACCAAAGAAGAAAGGGCTAGCAATGTGGTTCAAGTGGTAGCACACTTACCAAGCAAGTGTAAGGCCTTGAGTTCAACCCCCAGTACTGCCAACAACAACAAAAAAGGAAACAATGTATATTTGAGGAGATTGTTAAATGTATCCTAATTTAAAACTTACTCAGTGTAAGCATGTATTGAACATGACATGGTACCCCAATGTTATATACAAATTTTAATTTTTATGTTTCAGTTAAAAATAAATTTAAAAATTGTGAACATAAATAACTTGAAAAAGAAGAAAAAGCCCATATAACTATATAAATAATATATAGGTTTGGTAAATATAATGGAAAAGAGAAAAGGATAGAGAAATTATTATAAAAAGAGAAGGTAGAAATACAGGAAATAAAAAAAATCAGTCATGTGCATGAATAGAATAGTACAGATAGGGCAGAAAATACATTGAATTACATAATAGAAAATTTGTGACATAAAGATTTCACTCCCTCATCCTTCTGCTCTGCTGAGATCATGGTGGGACACCCAGAATAACCAACACCACTGTAGGTTTATGGGTAAGTGTTCAAATTCATTTATGAAGAACAATTGTTCTGACATTATAGGCAGAAAAGCACGTCCTGTATGGTGTTGACTGAGAGGAGTCCAGTACCTTTAATGGTCAAAGATACCATATCAAGAACTGTGTAGTTCTGAGGGACAGGCAGAGTAGAACACAAGTAACTTATATTGAGACAAATCATTCTTAAAATGCAAATAAAACATAGTGTGCACACCCCTCAAAAATACTACTATCTGAGCAAGTCATAAAGAAGGATGAATACAAATAAAGCACTCAGGAACAACTAGTAAAAAGAACAATGGTGAGTTTTAAATTCAATTAATTAGAACTTAGATTAAATCATTTAAATTTATGTTATTGAACAGAAAGTATCATAATATTTAATGATCAATACCAAAACCACAAAAATTAAGTTGAGAGGAGGAAAGTAGAAATTACTGTAGCTATTCATAATTCATAACCTTCAATGATTTTTACAGTTGAAATATTTCATTCAAAAACAGAAAGCTCCAAATTCAGTTTCTAAAATTTTTTTCTTTGTTTTAGAGGAATCTTCTAGAAGTTAATTTTGTTGTTGGAGAATCATATATTTCAAATTTAACATTTCTTCTAGTTTTACTCCTCAGCTTAACTAAAGTGAAATTATTTGAATAGAGAAATGCATGAAATTATGTTCATCAAATATTGGTTATTTGTGTTTTGGAGCATCAGGTAATTAATTTATCCTAAGTAATTTTATGTTTTATATATTTTATGAGCTTGTTAGACTGAGAATGTGTCACTTATAAAAAAATCACAAAGCCATTGGCAATAATTTATTTTCATTTTCTAGAATAAACATAAATGTAAAAACAAAACCATCAACGGTTTCACATTCAATTAATAACAAAAAATCCAAGTTTTAATTCTTCCTCGTTTTTAAACTAAAGAACAAAATTGACAAGTCAACTTAATAGGGTAAAGAGCATATTCAATTACAACATCACACAAAGAAAGCATTTTTAAGGCTGGGCATGGTGGCACACCATCAGGAAGTGGACATGGGAGGATCAGGGTTCTGGCTCAGCCTGGGCAAAAACACAAGACCTGAAAAACAGACTAAAAGCCAAAGGACTGCTATTGTGCCTCGGTAGAATACTTACTCAATTCCCAATATCACAAAGAAAGGGAAAGAAAAATTTTAATTCTACATATCAAATAAAAATTGCATATTTATTTGTTTTAAAAAGTGATTAAAATGACAATTACTAGCTAATAACTTATTGTCATAGAAAACCAAAGCACATACCATCACAGCCCTCAGCAAAAGCAAATGTGCTGCTCTATATTTTGAGCTTGCTCAGTAAAAGGGACAGATTTTGCTCCTAAGGGCTTGAGTTTTACATTCTTGCTAGGAATGAAGATGCCTCATGTTGGGTCATCTCTTGGGACTGCTGACCAGGGAGCAAAGGATGGTGGGAGCACTATTCTGTAGGAGCAGGAGTTCAACAAATATTTATTACTGGAGACTACTAGTAGAATCTTAGTATAGAAGGGAAGAAAGGCATAAAACAAATATCACACAAGCAAATAAGTAATTATACAGGACAATCAGTGGCATAATTAGTGCTATAAGAAAATTTGACCAGGACCTCTAACTTAGACTAAAGTTTAAATTCAAGTATTGAATTACACTATTAGATAATTTTGGTTGACACAGATATCATCTATGTTAGGTTGATTAGAATATGTCTTTTTAAGATTGAGACTTGATAAAGTTAGGAATTATCCAGATAAACATGGGAAGAACCTCTAGGTGAAATAGTCTACAGCGGTTGGAAGGTGCTTGGTATTTGAGAGAAACAGAGAAGGCTGCTGAGCCTGGATCCCAAGGAATGAGGGTGCCAACGAGATGAGAGAGGATGAGAAAGGGTCATATTTTTGTTCTTGTAGCTCATGTTAATGATCTTAGATTCCATTCCAAGTATAACCAACCAGACAGCTGTAATGATCAAGGATTGCAAGAGGGGCTGTGTACCTGCACACACAAAAAGGAAGGGGAACAGCAAATAAACTCCAACAGTTAATGGTTTTGCTAGGTAATTTGCTTAGTGGGGTTTGTACGGTGTTTTGCTATTCAGATTTCATTCCATTTAATATGAGTCCCATTATAAGAACTGATGTCATGTGTGGAGTTCATAACAATTTAAGGGTCTTATTTAAGTAAAGTTGGCATCTCTCATTGCGTCTCTCATTCTCGCAGCCCACCTTTCTCAGGCCCAGATCCTATGAAAACCTATAACATCATACTGAGGGGGATTGACATGATTGAATTTCCAAAGAAGATTGCCAAAAATGCTGCTAATTTAATTAAAAAACTATGTAGGTAAGTGTTTCAACCACATTTTTTGTTTCTTTCTTTGTTTTTGAGACAAGGTCTCACTATAAGCTGAGACTGGGCCTGACTTGCCATTTTCCAGCCTCCATCTCTCCAGGGCTGAGATCACAGGCCTACACCACCATGCCTGACTCAACCACATTATTTTTGAATGTGGATTATACTGTGAAAATTATATTATTTACCAAATTTTGTTTTATTTTTAGGGACAATCCATCAGAAAGATTAGGAAATTTGAAAAACGGAGTGAAAGACATTCAGAAGCACAAGTAAGTGTGCTTTCCTTGTAACTTTAGATTTCAGAGTTCAGAAAACCTGATGAGAATTTCCCCAGGGTGATATTTTTCTGGGAGAGTGTGGACAAGTTAGCCTGTTAAAACAACTTTATTTAGACATATCTGACTATCCTATGACTTTCCAAACCACAAATTCACTTATTGAGTTTTTCCCAATGCATACTAGCTAGAATTTCTTTTTCTCTCTGGAACAAAAAGAAAAGAATGTATTTTAAATTTCGAGAAATGTGTTCTCTAGCATTACAATGAAAACAAAGTTTTCCACTGTATCATACCTCATTTTTTATAGTTAAAAGGAAAATATGTACTTCGAGCCATCTCCATCAGATGAAGTAGACAGGAAAACAATGCAAAGTAGTTCTTTAAGCAATTGCAGCATCTTCAGCATCAGAAGCTATCTTCTGGACTGGACTTTTAAAATCTAAACCAACCCAAATTAGTTTCTCTCTCTTAGTCTGTTTGTTTAACGCTCCCAGAAAATTCACATCCTTATCAAAAGAATATATTTACTGAAATACCTATGAATACGTGTGAGATCCACTAAGAATTTGGTGTAAGAATTTGGTAGTGGTGAAACATTTCAAAGACAAAACAAAACAAAAACATCCCAGTGTTACTACTATAGCACTATGTGGTCCTCGTTTTCACAGTAAACTGAACATAACATGCTCTGATTCTACCTCCTTAAAATAAAGTCTTGGGCCAAGCATATTATGAAATTTATTTATTAAATTACAGTGGTAGTGTAGGGACAAAGTCATACAACATTATGACTGAAGTTATGTAAAAACATAGTGTGTGATATTGGTCTTTAAATTTTTAAACATATGTGCTTTAAGAAAGAAGCTAATAAGAACCTAAGTGATTTCTATCAGTCATATATATCCAATATATTGTAATAAGATTTTAGCAGAGGTACAATATCCTTTAATTGTCTATTTTTTCTTTCCTAGATGGTTTGAGGGTTTTAATTGGGAAGGTTTGAGAAAAGGCACCTTGACACCTCCCATAATACCAAGCGTAAGTGAACTTTCCAACTTCTAATCCCTGTGACTCACTTCTTGGTGTTTGTCAATCAGCAAAGACCTGTTATTCTTAAACTTTTATCCTACGACCAGAAATAGAAGTACCATGCTAAAATAATGACATATTCTAATATCCAAGCTTAGAAACACAAATTTGCAGATGGTTTCTACATACCCATTATACATTACTTTTTTAACTATTCGTTTTAATTCAAATTTACTTTATTGATGAGTAAGTTCATTTTTGTCATGAGAAGTGTTAAATGTAAGTAGAGGTAGACAGAAGACATAATGAATTTGCACCCATCAATTTCAACAGCTATGACTTTGTAGCCAGTGTTGGTTTATTAATGACTAAAAATACTTCCTACCCTCCCCCAGCATAACTTCAAACTTATTTTTCCTTTATCCTTCTGCCCAGATCTAAAAGAAAAATTTCTCTTAACACATTAGGGCTATCTTATTGTTGTTTCTACATAGCTAGTTCACAAAATAAACCTTGCATACTGTATAGACCTGAAATACATTTCAATTGACTGCAGTTTGATTTTTTTTTGGTCAGACCTGTATCTGTTTAATAAAATGTGCTGCATTTTAATTTAAGGGCAAAGGGCTGCTTTATGGTTCTGGGATTTTATTTATCTCCTTCTCTCTAGGACTGACTCAAGTTTTCTCTTTAGTTAGAAATATTTTCCCTTCTAAGATAAATTTCTGTGCAAATATTTGTTTATTCATTAAACAAAACAAAGATTCCATTTCTTTATCTCTCATTACAAATCCTTATTACATTTCAGGAAGTTTTGTTTTTCAAACAAGATCAGAGTCAGAGCTGGGGAAGACAAATATTAAATTATCCTAAACTAAATTTGTCAGGGGTCACCTTTTATGCAACAATAGTATTGAATGGACTTTATGATCCTCTGCAAATTTGACTTAATCCACTAAATTTGCAAGTTTTGCTCAAGTTTAGATATGAATTCTGTTACACATAGAACATACAAAATCTGTGATATATCCTGCCAGACCCTACATTATCTGGCTTCTGCCTACTTCTCCAGGCTTACCTCATTCTGTTCCCCTCCCCTCTCATATGGCACCGACATTGACCTCTTTTAGCTCCTTCAAAGCATGGACTTCTCTTAGGACCTTTGCGTATGCTATGCCTTCTTTCCTGAACTCATTGATTCATAGGTTAAAATAATACTTTTTCAAAGAGGCTTTATAGGATCACTCTTTCTCTTATGGCATCATATAGGTTTTTTTTCATAGCACTAGCCAAAGTTTATTATTTTATGGATTTTTGTGATTGGTTGCTTTAACCACATAATTTATTACTTACTGTAGTTAAAAATCCCAAAGGTAAGAGACATTTCTATTTTTACTCACTGCTGTTACCCCCAATTCAAAGCATAATGCCTATTACATAGTAGATGCTTAAAAATTGTCATTGAATAGGGAGTGAATAAAATGCTTTTTAAAATTCTTGATGGAATTGTGCATGATGGAAAAGGTGCCATGTACGTACAATAGAATACTGTTCAGCTATTAAAAAAAACAGCTGCCATTTGCAACAACATGGAGGGATCATTAAGTGAAATAAGTCAATCAACAGAAGGACAAGTACTAAGAAATGCATGATCTCACATGTAGAATCTAAAAAAGCTGATCTCACAGAAGTGGAGAACAGAATGGGGGTTACCAGAGGCCAGGGAAAGTAGAGGTGATGGAAGGGATGAGAGAGGTTGATCAATAGATGCTAAGTTATAGTCAGATGGGAACAAGAAGTTCTGATGTGGGGTTGGTGGAGTGGCTCAGTGGTAGAGCACCTGCCTAGTAAGCACAAGGTCCTGAGTTCAAACCCTAGTACCACCAAACAAAACAAAACAAAACAAGTTCTGGTGTGCTATTGAACAATAGGTGATTATAGATATAATAACAATGTGCTATACATTTCAAAAAACTAGAAGAAAGGATTTGTGAGAGTTTTCATCAAAAAGAAATGATAAATGTTTGAGGAAAGAAAATACATTTAATCTGATTTAAGCATCATGCAATGCAATGTATACATGTATCAAATGTTACATGGTACTATATTACACATGTACAATTTTAATCTTTTTATGTATCAGTTAAAATAAACTTGAAAAATGATTCCTTTTAGTAGTGGAAAATTAAAGTCTAGCTTGGGTTTCTGAAAAAGTGCAATGCTTTTTGCTATTCAGTCTTTCATGTTGCAGGTGGCATCACCCACAGATACAAGCAATTTCGACAGTTTCCCTGAGGACAGTGAGGAGCCACCACCTGATGACAACTCAGGCTGGGACATAGACTTCTAATGTATTTCTCTTACCTGCTTCTGCCTTGCTGAAGACAGCTTTTTCTGAGACACAGCTGCCAGCAAACTTGAGGGAAAGAGAGAAGATTTGTGCTCGGGGTCACCATGATGCCTTTGATCGATGCTGCTCCAGTAACTACAGTGGCATTAGGACTTATTGCTTAGATGACAATAGTGCTCTTTACATGTTTTTCGTTTGAACCTAAAGTAGCAGTTGACATGGTGGTCCTGAAGCAAAGCCTTTCACCAGTAAAGAGATGTTTTCTATTGTTGCAATGATCTTGCTTTGCTCTGATTATGATTTGAAAGACTGTAGGAAATGCTTCAACCTAGTAGAAAAGTCTGTACCTTTCTAGAATTATCAATAAGATGAAAGAATAATATATTGGGTACGATAGATGACAATGGTACAGAACCTGGGCTATTCCCTTTCTTCAAGTGAAGGTTGTGGAATCTATTACTGTGCACCGGTGTATATACCATACAAAGAGGACCGCACATCTGTGGGTCACAGAGTTCATGTCAAACCAGTGCTAGAAGTTTCATGATTTTATTTCCCAGCAGTGCTGATGACAAGACTGAATGTTACCTTTTCTTTCTGACAGATTTTAAAAATTGATACGATAAAAGCACAACTGCTATGGGTTCTGTTAAGACCTTTCATAGCAGGTCTATATGCGTTTTCAGAGGATTGGAAAAAAATGCATGATACTTGTTTGTTGCTTTTTGATAAATTGGCATGACAGAATGGGAAAAAAGAATTCACAAAATCATTTCATATTTTAAGAAAATATTGTGCTTAAAGATGGTCCTGGAAATGACTAGCAGCCAATTGGTTTTATTTATTAACTAACATACCCTCAAACTGAGGCTTAAAATATTCCCTTTTATAAAAAAAAAAAAAAACCCTTGGGGTGGGAGTGGAAAAGGGTTGGGAGGGATAAAGACCCATCCAAAAAATAAAAAATAAAAAACTATATAGGTGCTATGTATATCTGTCATCTGTAATGTCAATGTCTGAACAGACAACACAAATTATATAATCATTATATGTCTAGCCAGAGACTCAAGCATTTTTCACTAAATTTATTAAACTAAACTCCTGTCAGACATCACTTATACAACATAGTCTAAGTTTGAGAGAGATTGAAAACATATCTAACTAGCTTCTTGTCTTAGGCCTGAACCAAAAGAAAAAGTAAGAGAGTGCAAAGTCACAGGTATTAAGATTTACCAGATAGGAACCTCACTCACTTGAGGTCAGGAAGTCAGGAAAAAATATGAGAACCTGGCCAGGTGTTGATTACCTTTATGTGAATGAGCTTATACAAATTAAGAGGCAAGAGTGCACGGGATGGGGGGGGCAGGAAACAGGAAACTGATTTCTTAAAAATAAATGTCAGCTAAATGGAACAGAAATATTATGAACCTGAAATTTAATGCTCTCAAGAAAAGGCTAGATTTGAAAATATCAAACTTTTTCACATGAGGAAAAGAATCAGCATTAATTTTCTTAATTTGATTATTGGGTCTTTTGTTGGCAGGCCAGTTGACCATTATTAGCTATCATAAGTAGCAGAACCTTCTGAAAGTTTTTCCTGGACAAATAACATTATACCTAGTTAGACAGATATATATTCTTCCAAGGTGATTTGGAACTCTGTGTGAATTTGGTATAATAAATATAGGCTTGCTTTTTCTGATGGAGATTTTTTTTAAAAAATAAATCTAAGGTAGATATTTCTATAAAAATATGTCCGATTAAGTCATTATGTTCTAGCCAAGAAAACATATATTATGAATTTTTTGGAATTTTTCATACTCAAAACTACTTTAGAATATATCTTGTCAAATCATAAGACTCTTAAAACATTTGGAGAATAAAACTACTAAAAGCATATTATATGTAATTAGAATAAAGTTTAATTAAAACTTTGATCCTAAGCCATTATTGTGTATTATTGGAATTTTCTCTCCTTTATAATCAATTTCTCAAAATCAATTTATTCTCCCAAGATATCTGCTGATTTCTACAGATTAAACAATGTAAAATTAAACATATCTAACTAAAATCTAGCTACATATTCTCTTCATAAGTTTCTTTTAATTAGGCTTTTAAAATATATAATTTCAATATTATCATCAATGTCCAGCAATTTTTGTTGAAAGATAGTGTGGTCTAGTCATGCTACAGGCTTGCTAGAATTTTTAATTTATTAACATTATCACTAGCAAAGTGAATCTGTTTCTACAATTTTTCAAATATCACAAAAGCCTCCAAAATTGTCAGTAACTAAATTTTGGAACTATGGTTCAAGTCTAAGACAAAGATGTATATAAGTTTTATGGAGAAGGAAGAAGTAGCATTCAGCACACTGTTAACTGTAGGTTGTTTTCCCACTTGTGACTACATCTTTGTTCATTTCACCTACGGCATTTCATTAGGATGTCTAAAGCAATCACCAAAAGAATAAAGGCGAACTATATCTTCTAAGAATTGCTAACAGAAAACATTCATCTGATTTTCACACTGAATTTTAAGGATTTATATATTGTCTTAATGAAGACACTAGGGCTATAATTCATGGTCAGTTTCATAAATTGCATCTCACTTTATTTCTGAATTTATCATGCCCCTTCTCTTTTCTTACGTTAGAGAACATGTGGATAAGTTAGAATAGTGCCAACTAGTTTGATTTATTAACTGGCTCTCTTGTTAATACATTGAGTATGGGAAATAGGGCTTTCTGCGTACTTTGATTCACAGAAAACTGAAAACTGCCAAGGGAAAGATTAAATATATTAGAGAAAATGATTTCTGAAAAATTGCTGTAATCGATTTTTGTGTTTGTTACCTTCTTTATTATTAACACATGAATCAGATCCATTTAGCATTTAAGGCAAATTAATTTTGATTATATTCTTTACAAGTCATATTTTTTTCTTAAAATTATGGAATATACATGTGGATTACACATGTAAAATGATGCATAAACTCAACTATTGAATTTTTCTTCTTTTGTTTCTAAATGACTGAACTGATGGTGAACTTAAAGAAGTTGACTACCATATTGAACACAAGGATATTAGAATTGATTTCATAAAACAGAGGTGATCTGTGTATTATCCATACTATGTTTTCTTTCACAATAGGACCACAGACAAATATTTATGTAAATAGATATTTTTGTGTGATATTTTGTGGTACATATAACTTTTTTTAGTGTTTCACAGCATTATTATTTCATTTTATTATGTATTGAATAATGTTTTTAGGTCCAAGTAGACTTGAATTAATGTCATAATTGTCAGTATTATTGAAAATTATGTCAACAGTACTGTTATTCATCTGTCCCATAGTTTAGAACATGACCTGGCTATCTGGCATTGTTGCAAGTGCCTTAAATTCATGGCATCTTATTAAAAAACAAATTTGGTGTTATGCTGCATGACAAAGACAAACACACCTCAAAATGTTGTCCTTTCTTAGCTTGCTGCGTTTTACAGTTCTTTCTGCTAACGATTTATAAGCCTTTATTATATAATATTGATGAATTACAGAAATGATGAAGTTGTTCTCTTATTTCTGTTAAATGTACCAGAGCTGTGTATCTGTTAATGAGATACAGCGTCATTTCTGTGAAATGTATAAATGTATGTGCAGGTCAAATTAATATATGACATACTATCAGTCTGTATACAGGTATTCCTGTTTTGCTAAGCCGTGCAGATTCAGTAAAAAAAATTAGTGCAGTCAAGTTCTAACATATCTCATTTTATAGTCTACATTTAACAATGGTCCAACCCAAAAGAAAAATTGGAAGTGACTGCTAACCACACCTTGTAATGAAACCAATGTTGGAAAAGTACCCTGGTGCACTGCTCAACAAAACGGGATGCTTTCTGAATTCTTGTATATGCAAATCACTTATGAGGCAGAGGTTCAACAGACCTAGGAAGCAAAACCTTGAAAGTTGTTAGCCCTTCTCTTTATCTGCCCCTGCATCAACAGACAGAGCTCTGGGACCTTGACCATGACTCAGAGGTTTGGGCTTTCTGAGTAAAGAGACATTTCTTTAGGCATCGTCTATCAAATTTATTTCAATGTATAATGTTTTTACAACTGGTCAGTTCTTTTGTATTCCTACAGCTATGGTTATTTGATTGTCCTCTTACAATTTGTTCTACATGAAAGAGTCATTTGTTAGTCAGAATGCAACAAATGTCATCAAATGGTCATTGACCACTTGCACTCTTTTGATGTAGATTAAAAACTTTTTCAGAAACTTAACCTGCTTTGATTTGCTCTGTATTTTTCCTGCAGCTGTAATTGCTGAGTGCCTGTTGTATACTTTATAGAGTTGAAATAAAAATAATTACTTTTGAACCTTGTCATGTTTAATTCCAGAGTTTAAAAAGAAGAATTAGTGTATCATATTAGAATTTAAATGCAATGTAGTGCTCTTGTAGAATCTTAGTGTAACAATGTAGAAAATACAGTCCAACCACCCTCACAAAATAATATAATCTCACATAAAACTAACTCAATAATTCAATTTTAATAATTCAGTGGGAATAATATCAGGCTATCTAGCGTGAATAGTAAAGAAAGTATAGACATTCACGCAAAACTAAAATTAAAAAACTTTAGTAGATTACCACCAGACATTCCTTTGGGTTTCTCCTCAAACCTTGCATTATGTTAAAAAAAAATTGCAAGGAAGATTCCCAAATATTGCTGCATCCAGGATGGAAATATTTGGTACATAAAGCAACATCACCTGTCTTTGTCTAAGACTTGTTCAGTTGATCCCGCTGTATATTCTTCATATTCATAAAGAACATAGATTTGGAGAACAGTATGAAGAGAACACACTCAGTTCTCCAAAACCCTGGTAAACGTGTTCTACCTGAATCTATTTGCTCCTCATTGCAAGAAATGGTGCACACATCAAAACTGGTTACAGCATAAGATTCCTCAATTTGATTGCTGTTGTCTGGTGGACATCACATTGCCAGTGGTGGTGGGTTGCAATTCCTTGTTTAATGAAAACTAGAAATTCAGGTCTGTTAATTTTTTTGGTCATAGCCAATGAAACAATTTAGAAAAAATATGCTATGTCAATATAACACATCCAATAATTTTATTTCTTCTGTCAATAGAACTGTAACATAGCTTTTAACACTCATCCTTTAAGTTCTTTGATTTTTTATAGCCTAGATCTTAGAATGGTCCATTCTTGATCCTTGAAAGTTTTTTCTTTTTTAATCACAGTTTTAGGAGCAGCACACAGATTGACACTTGTGATCATTAAAGAGATGGTGGAGGAGGGTAGGGCTGGTGATGGTGAAGATGGTGCTCTGCCAGTGCCACATGTATGCATGTTACTTTCAATGGAGTTACGTCTGCACAGTTGTTCCACTATGACGATATGAGTCAGTTATAAATTTGAGAAGAATTGATTGATGGTATGATCACCCAAGATGTTCACATTGTGCTGCATACATACCCTCAGATTGCGAGTCATAGCCTTGTACATTTCACACACTTAGTACAGAGCGGCTACCACACTAATATGCTTTTCTGAGAGTCCTATTTAGTGTTTTCTTTGTTTCATAATTTCTACTTTTCAACAATTTCTATAAATTAATGCAGTAGTAACATTTACCTGTATAGCTCTGTTGTTTACCCCAGGTGAATCTGTACAGAAAATGACAAATCCATCCAATCCATCCATGTGCCCACTAGCAAAGCCAAAAAAGGATAAACCTCAACATTTTTGGAAAAAAAAAGAAAGAAAAAAGAAAGGAGGAAGAAGCAAAGGAGGAAAAAGAAAGGAGGAAGAAAAGGAAGATGAGAAGGGGAAAAGAATTTTCCAACAAAGTTTTCCATAAGTCTCAATACACTTGAGGAGAATGTCTTACAGTTCACCAGGATGGAATAAGGTGAGAAAATATGAGTTAAAGGAAGGAGATAAGAGGTGAAGAGGCTCCACAGGCTCCAGATTTCTAATTCTGATTCAGCTAGAAAAGTTCTGGTCTTATCTGTTCCATGTACTGGGGATGCATGTGGCATTTCATTTAAAAGATTGTTTATGTATTAACTCTTTTTTCTTGTTTATTGTTGTGCTTGGTGGGGGGTACATTGTAGAATTAATAAAAGTTCTTACAATGTATCAAATATATCATATTTGGATTAACTCCCTCCACCATTCTCCTTTATCCTCCCTCCCCTCATTCCTAGAGTAGTTTCAACAGGTTCATTTTTCAATTTACATACATGTGTATATAGTATTTGAACTATATTCACTCTCCCTTACCCTTTCTCCACCTTCTCCCCCCTCCCAC